CGCCTCCTCTGCTGAGGGGCTGCCCCGAGCGCCTGCGCGCTCCTTCCTCGGTCACGCGGCCGCCGCCGCCGCTCGTTTTGGCGCCAAGCGGGAGCGCGCGCGCCCGGCCATCGCCTCACGCCGCCATCGCCTCACGGCCGCGCTGGCGGCCGGTCGAGCTCTGGAGCTTGTGTCCCTCTCAGGGCGTCCTTCTCCCTCGGGGCAGCTTTGGGAGGGAGCGAGGATGAGGAAGGTCGCCCACTGTGGGCGCACGCAATGGCTGCTCACGTCTCCTCAGCAAAGCTGCCGAGCCGGGCAGGATCCCGCCTCCCTCAGTGCGGGGCAGGCCGGGCCGGGCGCTGTGGTGAAAGGGCGCGTTGAGGCCTTCAGGGGCTGGTGGCGAGGGAGGCTAAAATGTGTGTTTTAATTAAAAAAAAATAATCAGTGCGGGTCCCCAGGGGCGTAGAAAGGAGTCTCAATCAGTGTCGGCGCTAGGAAGTGACGGGATGGGATCGCTGGCTCCGCCTGCCGTCGGGAAAACATTAACTTTGAGTTCGGCTGTCTGTTTAGGTAAAAAAGGTTAGAGAGTAGTTTTCAGAGAACAGCCTGCGGCTAAACGGGTGCACAAGACAATGCAAATCCCAATTTTTACGGTTGATGCATTTACAAAGCGGCCATTTTCTGGAAATCCCGCGGCAGTTTGTCTGCTTGAAAATGTAAGTTTAAAAAAAAAGCAGCTGTTTTTTGAGGTACTGCGATGACATTTGCTGTTCTGTACTTGGCGAGAACGCTCACCACTGCATCAGACTTTGCTTTCTTTATTCGAGACTTCTGTTTTTCAGACTTGTTCTGTGGCGCCAGAATACAGAGAAATTAGCGCAGGGGTGCTTTTTTTTTTCATCAAAACGATGCCATACGAGACAACATCGGCATTTTTGTGGGCTGTTAAAAATATTTTATTAAGGAATAGACTGGATTTATTTCGAGTTAAGTCAAGAAAAATGGCTTAATTTCTTCAAGAATGATCCAGAATAAAGATTCTGGAGGATTAAGAAGGATTCAGAGTGAAATCTGAAAAGTAACACTGTAAAACAGAATCAGTACTCAGTAGAAGGATTAAACTGTGGTGTGTGCTTTTTGTGTGGGTTTTCTCCCTTTTTTTTTTTTCTTTAATTTTTTCTCTTTCTCTGGAAAGAAAAAGAGCAGGTATAGACCTGGATTTGAGTCTTTTGCCATTAGTGTGTTGGGTGCAGCTTTAGCCAGGTTTAAACAGGCAGTTTTTATTGCTTCCATATTGCAAGGCAGTTTTGGTGCAGTAGTTCTCCTCCTCATCAGGGTAACCAGTTTTAAATAACACAGTTGGTTCTAACTGGTCCTGATTTCTAACAGAGATAATTATTAAGAGGGATTAGAAATTTACAGAAATTTTATTGTTTGTATAGTAACTCCTGTTAAAAATGTAAATATGAAAATATGCGTAGAGTAGCCAATGGCAACAGGTTGTAATGACAATATGAACCTTTTCTAGATGTTCCTAAGTCTGTCTAAATCTCATATAAGATTGCCTGCTTTCCAGGTTATTTATTACTGGGAATATCTCTCTTCAGAATTTTTGGCCCTATAAAATCTAAATGCTCTCAAAATGATCTCTGCTTTAAAGTTATGAGCTTCTAATTGCATTTTTAAATATTAATTTTACTTGATTACATTAATATATCCTGAGGCCACCTTACTTGCATGATGTCTTTGGAATGCAGACGTTTAAAAAGTTTTTTCTACAGTTCCTGGAAGTAAAGGCTTTAGTGTGACAGCTAAAGCTGAGATCCTAATTCAGCATTTTAATCTAAACTTGAAGAAAGTGTGATGCAGCCATGCAAAGCAACTGTTCTGTGCTCCCTCCAGAGTCTCGGCAGATGCTTTGCAGGAAAAAATCGGGAGAAATCCAAGAAAGGCAAAGCCAGTCCTTATTGAGTTTCAGAGGTGCCACAGGATGGCAGTATTTCAACGAAGTTCCATGTTATTTAAAAAAGAAAAAAAAAAGTTATTTTTAATCACATTTTTACTGTTGTTTGGTCTGGTCTAGGATCTTTACAGTAACTGACAGAACTCTTCCTGGGATAAAGGGAATGTAACTACTGTAGAAAGTTAAAATGTGGTTTAACTGCACAGAATTCAGTCTGCAAGTACAGCTCTAGTGTATTGGCTGGAAGCTGTACTATGGGATTACTGCCTGAAAAGGATTAGTTATTAAAGGAAGTAATTAAAGTTAAGAGGGCACATTTTATCTTTCAGAGGCTGAACCTGACCAGGTCCCTTTACTACTTTATTTCACCTGAGTTTCAATATTTCAAAGATCACATTCTCAGACCTGGTCTGAGAGCATTACGGTGGGGAAAGAGCAGTGGAACGTGGGCCAGGGAGAATGTTATACAATCCCTGGGGCTTGGGGATCTTGGGATCAATGTTCACTGGCTTAAGTCACAGGTACTTAGTGAGCTCCAGCAGTTTGTTTGTTTGTTTTTTTTCCCAGTTTGTCTCTTCTCAGCTCCTACCGGGGTGAGGTATTATCCCACTTTTTTTTTTTTTTATTATTTTTTTTTTTTTTTACTCTCAGAGAGTATATTGAATTAAAACTGAGTCTATGTTTTATTATGTTAGAAAATTAAAAGACTGTATTTGACAGAAAGTTTGGTTCTGCATTTTTCGGCCTGCTCTTGATTGGATTTGTTATTTCATCCCTAGGACTTGAATGAAGATCTGCACCAAAAAATTGCAACAGAAATGAACCTTTCAGAAACAGCTTTCATCAGAAAACTCAAACCTGGAGATGACTTTACCAGAAGTTAGTGGTTCTGTTTGCCCTCCAAAATATCTAACAAAAGAATAGGAAGACAGTCTGGGTACATTTATAAGGAATGGTGCTAATTTGTAAGACAGCAAAACAAAGTTTTGAAATTGTGATATATCTTAAGATCATAATAAGACCATTGCATGTGGATTCTTGCAAGTGTTTGTGCTCAATTTTATTTTACAAGGTAAACATACTTATTCAGAATTCAGACCATTAATGCCTTTTACTAAATAAGCAAGAAAATGCTAAGCAGACATCTTCCAATTAATATTTCCTATATTATTTTTGCTAATAATACCCTGAGAGAATTCCTTATACAAGCAGAAGAGATGGAATATGCTCATTCCATATGCACAGGACTGCAAAGTGAGATGAATCTGTCTGGGCTGTTTAGAGAATCATGACTGGGGTAACTGTAATGTTATTTGAGTTTGTCACAAAGTCTCATCAGGTGTCTGTGGAGCCAGTACTGGAAAATGCAGGTTTCTAACAGAGCTGGGAATTCTGGAGTGATCCAAACCTCTTTAGGCTGCTCCTTGGGTTGGTTTAAATGGAGGGGGTAGACTGGTGTTTGATGGTAGTGCATGAGTTGGGAGAGGAACTGGAGGGACATTGGGCAAGATAGAAAACATCAGAGGAATATGCAGAATTCATTCAGACTCACTCTGTGGATTCATTTTCAGCTGAGTCAGCTTGCTGATCTGAATCTGCTCACTTGACAGTGGTGTGGGGGCACGAGCCAAGGAGCTGGGACTCCACTAGTCTGGACTTAGATTCCAAGTTAAGGAGTCATGTTTATCAGCTTTGCTGTTTGATGGATTGTACAGGGAGTAGGATTTTGTATAGTCTCTGTAATTAAAAATATTAAGGATAGTAGGAACTGTAATTGGTTGCTCCTACTGTTTTTTTAAAAAAATGTTGCTTTTCCACTTTTAGTTGTGTTTTTATGGTAATTATTCACTTGAAATGCATCTGCAAAAGCTACAGGAAACCAAGTATCATACACATGTGTTCTCAATTTTTTAAATAGGATTTAAATGATTTCTAGTGAAATGAAGGGGTAGTAGACATTAGAGACTTTTACCAGACTTGTGGTTTTAGCAAAATAAATCATAACTCAGCTGACTCCAGTACAGGTTCCATTATACCAACAAAACCATCCATGACCTCAATGGTAACCAGACCTGCAGGTGTATACAAATCATGGCTGTGCCTTTGCAGGATTTCATAATACACAAGGGCACGGAGACTTTATCTTCTAAATAAGATCTATTTAGGACAAAGAAAAATCTGTGCAGCATGCAAAGGTTGTTGAGCTGATTCAAAAGGGATGGCTATTCTTAAAAATCCGTGTGAAATGGTACCTAAAAGTGTGTTTGGGAGCAAAACTGATTGTAACGTGCATTTTGATTAACTGAAACATCATCACTCTCTAGATGTTGAGATAAAATGAAGAAATAGACTTTTCCCACTTAATAGCACTAACTGAATTTTATTTTTTCAAGGTTCCTGCTTTGGGCTCAGGTGGTTCACCCCAGCCAATGAAGTTCCTCTCTGTGGTCATGCTACTCTCGCATCAGCTGCTGTGTTATTTCATGTACAAAGTAGGTTTACAACCTGTGTATTACTATAACTTTTTAGAACATTTACTTCTAATTAACACCTCTATTTTTTAGGTAATTAAACACTCAGAACATCTATAGAACACAAATGGAGATACCCTGGGTATTGCATTTTACTACTGCTCTGTAGTTACAAGCCTGTGCTCTGTGATTCCAATGCCCTGCTATTACTCTTCTTTAAGAATAAAGTGCTAAATATGCAAATGTCATCTGGGAGAGGTACAGGAGGATTTGATGAGTAGAGAATATTGCTCTTTCTATTGAAAGGACATTCCCATGCATTCTAGGCATATGCAGGAGTAGTGATTCCCTGACAATTGCTGTGTTTATTAGCCTCAGCAGATTTATTGAGTTAGTTGGGAATTTTGCCCAGAGTACAGAGTTACTCTAGATATGTTTGAGCTGCATAACTATCTTTTTTTTTTTTTTTTCTGAGCTACTCCCAGGGCTGTAATAATTTAGATTAAAATTTTTTTGTTTGATAATGTTGTAATGTTCTCTCTCTCTAGAAAATACAAATTCAGTTCTCACATTTGTGACGCTGAGTGGGGAATTAAAAGCCAGACAAGTGAAAGATCATATTGTCCTGGACTTGCCACTTTACACAGCCTACCCCCAGGTTAGTCAAAATTTATTCATGATAGGCTTTCAAGGAAAGTGTTTTGTTTGCATGTGTATGTCAGTATATATGTCTGTCTGTAGTTGCCTATACTGCATTTATTTACAGTGTGTGTTTTTCTTTTCTTCAGGAACTTAAGGAAGTAGAAGAATTAATAAAGGTAAAAGAAGAATCCATCGGTTGTCTTAGAAAAAACATTTATAATAGCTTTGCTTATTTTTATGTATTAAAATGGCTAAAAAATGGTGACAAGGCACTGCTCGATGCACTCCTGAATTTGAAACACCAGACTTCAAAGCTCTCAGTTATGAGTCAGTAGGTCAGGGAGTGTGATTCTCCAAAATGCTGCAGCTGAACCTGTGTCTCCCACTACCACTGACCCAAGTGTCAATATTTATTTCTATAATAAAGGGCATTTTTAGCCCTTTGTGTGCATAAGAGGGCAGTCTGTGTCCTTGCCCTCCTCTAGGTCTTGGATTTCTTCCCAAATTGGCATATGTGGTGCTTGTCACTCCCCCATATCCATTCATGCACTCGGTGCATTTGCTTTTCCTGTACTTGAGGGTTGCATGGAAGACCTTGCATAAGCCCTCTTCTAGCAGGGAATGTTCGAGCTACAGAAATGCTAAGGAAATAATATTTTATATTCAAGTGCTGATGGTTTTTTTTCCTGTCTCCTTTGCATTTTCCACCAGGCAGCTGTTGGTGACATGATTGTTCAAGATGTCCGTTACTCTCCTGACACAAAGAAGCTCTTAGTCCGCCTCAGTGATACTTATGAAAGGTGTCTTACACTCTCTTAATTTTATTAATCAAGGATGCAGAGATTGAGTTGACCTGTTTAATCTCTATTCCTTCCATACTAGGCTCTTTTATCTGGTTTTAAATCAGGTGGAGATTAAAAACCTCTGATTTAAATTTCTGTGTAAAGTGGTTATTTTATCTTTTAGTATGAGCTTATTGAAGCTGAAAAGCCAAATAAGATCATTCTGAAATCTGTCTTCACGAGAAGGAGGTGTAGGAAACAGTTTTAATGATGGTGTATTTTTCTCATCCATCTGAGTAAAGATGATCCAGTAACCTGGCAGGAAACTGGGAGTCCTGCTTCATTCCAGGGCACACTGACAGAGAATGCCAGGGGTTCTTACTTCCATTGGACTGTAATCTGCTTACACATGCTTAACAGCACCATAAGTAGCTTTAGAGAGGAAATTCCAATTCAAATTATTCCAAAGCATTTGTTAATCTCATCTGAATTTCATTGTTAATTCAGGAATGGTTTAGGTACATACTGCCAAAACATAGCTGCTTTAATCAGGCCAAATTACTATTATTACAAACTTGAGGTTTGGGCTAACTAGTGGTTAAAGTCTGGGGTAATGGGGAAAAAGAAATATTCTCAGCTGAGTACTTACAATTTCACTCTTTCAGACTGTTTTTTAGGGGGGTATCAGCCAGTTGTAGACTGCTTTAGAATGCCATGAAGACCTGAATGATGTTAGTTATTTGCCTGCTCTTGAAAGGAGGTGGAGCACTTGGCACATTCTGTAGTGAGGCAATAATTCTTTCCGTGATTAAAAATGTTGAAACAAAGTGTGATTTTTTTAAATTTTTTTTTTAAATGCTTTTTCAGGATGCTCTCTTTTCAGAAGTTAATAGGAGACACATGCTTTGAGGTTTTTTCTCTGCTCATTCAGAGTGTATGAGATTCAAGGTGATTTTCTGTCAAATACCATTGGGAGGACAAAGCTAGGAATCTTGTCTCCTCTAATATTTTAGGGCTGGTTTGGAACTGTAGAGAAGATGATTCTATAGCTTTGTTTTTCTTTTCAATGCTTACATTGATGTAAAATGAAGAATATGGGCGATTAAAATTTCAATTTTTTATTAAAATTTCAATTTTCAATTTCAAATACATTCAAGGTCTGTGTTGGAAGACTTGAAAGTGAGTGCACAACGATTTTTGTCAGCTGAAAAGACAGGAAAAGTGAAAGGACTCATTCTCACTGTTAAGGGGAATTCCTGTGGAACAGGCCATGATTTTTACTCCAGATATTTTGCACCTTGGTATGGAGTTCTGGAAGACCCCGTTACAGGTATGTGTTTCTGTGACAAGCAACTCGTACTTTTGTTTCAGTTAATTTAAAAGGTTCTTACTAAAATTCCTTAATCTGTTTTTGTACTTTGGAGTCTCCTATAAATCATTGGTTGATATGGATAGCAGGAGTGCTCATTAAACAGAAAACTTTTATGACTGAGGCCACCTCATTCAGAAAAAAATCAACTCGGCTCTTGCTGTCATTAGGTCAGATATTCTTGAGTCTTTTTCAGATCTTTTCCCTCAAGTATTCCAATTAGAGAAAAGTGAGAGACTAGTTCAGTACTGGATGGATGAGTATTGTAGGAAAATTTTATATCCACTTCTGTTGGTGTTCTTTTTTCTTTTGTGGTGCTTGGATTTCTGTTTGGGTTTTTTCCCTGTGCATTTCAGCTGAGACCATCCCTAGTTTCATGACTAGGAATTTGTTTCATTTACTGCTGCTGTTCTCAGGCCTATGAGAGCTCAGCTGGCTGCATGCTTAGGGCAGCAAGACATGTCTGTTCTTCTGATGTTGTACTCTCTGTGGTGTTGATTGCTGCAGGATGGTGTCCTTTGCTGAGGTATCATTTAATTATTAGTTATTATGAGAGTTGTGGCTAATGATGATGCCCTCACCTAGCAAGATTTCCATTGAAAATGGAAGATGTAGAAGTAATACTGCTTTACCATGAACTGAAATTATAAAGCCTTAAGTTCTGGCTGCTGTGCAAACTCTGTAGTTTTTTTTTACCCTAAACACACGTGACACTTGATTTATGATATTTACATTTTGACTATGCTTACTCTGTAAAGTGGTGATTATAATTTAATTCTGTACTTTGTTTTCCAATTTATTTTAAGGATCTGCTCACGCTGTTTTAAGCAGCTACTGGTCAGAGCAGCTGGGGAAGAAAGAAATGCTTGGTAAGATAAACTGTTTCATTGCAAAGCTGTTCATTTATGTAAATTACTCACTAGAAAAGAAAAGGTTTTATTACTACTATAATCCAAACTGTAACAATAACTCCCTATCCATTTCCTCAGGATGAATAGAATGTTATGCAATACTTTGTGTGTGAGGTAATCTTTGAGAAATTGCTTTCTTTCCTATCGACCACCATGATACATCACGCCCCAGGGAGTTTGAAGTGTCAGTTTCTGGATCATAACTCTCTGCAGTCAGTTTTTGATCTTGGATTTTAGTTCTGATGGCCTTTCATCATAGCTGAAACTTGGTGAACCTCAGGGGATGTCGTTTATGTGTTTTGGTTCAATCAATGAGATGTACTTATTAGATCACATCTTTGTTATTAAGCAAGAAACCTAAGAACATGGTGGAAAAAAAGCCAAGAGAAGCTGTTAACATGACAATGCTAGATGAGGAGGTGTTGGGTGACTCCTTGCTTCTCCTGTTTCTAGTGCTTTGCAGAGAACAGAAGAGCAAGAGAAGCAATACAAAATACCCTCAGCCCCACAAAGGGGACAGGGGGCAATTCTGCACACAAGCCTTTGGTCACGTTTAGTTTAGAACAGAGGTTGGCTACTTGATCTAATAAGGTTCTTTGTGCATAAAAGTAAAGACTTTTCCAAACAAACAGCTACCCTGAGTATAAGCCTTCCTGCATTTGGTCAGATGAATCTCAGAATGAATTTTCTTGAGGATGGTAAGTCTTTAAAGGATCCACCATGAACAGGATCTTCTCCACCACAGACCGAAGGAAAGATTTAACATTCTGTCCCAAAGATCTTGTATTTGCATTTACACCACACAATATCTGTGATAGCTTAAATAATGTTAAGCTAATGTGTGGGGGGGAAAATCTCAATATATTTTCTGAAGATGAAAAACTGTCTTTGGTAACGTGTCCTTACGGATTGGCCGTTTCTCAGGAGATTTTGACATTTTTGGATGTTAATGAGGAATTTGAACTCTCTACATCATCTATAGACAGTGCTTCTTTAAGTACTCAAATAGGCTGGAATTCTGTCTGTACTTAAAACTGACACTTTGTACCTGTTTTGCATTTTCATGTATTTTGTATGTACTGTCCCATTTCTGCTTTTAGAGAAGCTAGCTCAAGCAGCCACGATTACAGTTGATATTGTAATCAGCTTCTCCATTGTGTTTAGAACAAAAAAAATCCTGTCTGTCCACAAGATAGGTTTGTGTTGTTTTTGTTTTTTTTAAAATTCATATTCCATGCATATATGTCCTCAAACTTCTGTGGTAGAAATCATACAAAACTGTCTAAAATAATACAAGTTAAATTGATGTATGTTTATGAGAATAAGTTTCCCTTACCTGTGTCTATCTGAGAGGTATCAGGTAGTACTGGGCAAATTCTATTACTAATGAGATTATTTGGAAAAGGTAGATGGCATTCAAGGACATTCCATATCACCAAATATTAATAAATAAGAGAGTCTTTGGACTTTTTAGAAACCTCTGTGGTAGCTTCTGTAATATCTGATACTTTGCAAGAATAAAGGAAGAATTTCTTCCATAAAATGAAGGATCTGTTAGTTCCCAAATAGATTACATATAAAATAATATAAAAATAAGGAACATTAAATCTATTGTCAGATCTCTCTGGCTGTTGAGGCCTTTAGTAGGGGTCAGCTGCAGCTCTGCTGAAGCATCAGACTTAATTTCCTGTGTTTGGATTCTCTTCCTACTTTTTTTAGACTAAATTGTTGAACAACAACCACCCCCACCAACTACAAAGAGAATTTTCCAGTACTTTTAAAAAGTGAAACACTTCATGATCTTTTCTTGAAGCTGGGTACATGTCCTTGGATTTAAGCTGCTGGTTAAATCAGAGTTTTGTATCAGTCCTTTCTTTCATTTGGGGAGTCTCTGCAATGTGTACAAGTTATAATCTCTCAGATGTATGGACTTTCCCAGTTGCTAGTGAAGGCAGTGCATAACAGCTCTGTATCCAGCCCTTCACACTGTTGTCATATTTCTAAAGTAACATTTATAAACCTGCATGAGGAATTCCATACAACCAGACAAATTGGACATTATTACAAATTTTTGTGATGGGACAGGGCTTATCCAGGACAGGTTTTATCTCAGGTCAAGTTGGGGAATTTTGCTATACAAGACATTTTCATATTCAGACAAATGAAGTATTAATTTATGGGGAAATTTGTTTCTAATAACTGCCTTTAACTTCTGTTTCCTTCCAGTACTGAACAGGTTTATAGCATTTATGGGGGGCAGAAATGAAACAAAAATTGCCACCAACATTACCACCACCACCAAAACACATAAAAAGACAGAAGATGCTTTGTTAAGATACAATAAATCTACCTGTATTTGAATTTTTGCTAATTTGAATTCTCATGAAGTCAAGAGTTTTCATTTCAGCTTTCATCTTTTCCAAGTAATCTCAGCATACAGATTGACAACATCAGATTCGTGCACAAGTGTAACATTTCTTCAAAGGAAAGGTGTTTCTCTTCATCAATCACCAGATCTGTCCATCTTCTTTCTTAAGATAAAAAAAAAAGTCTTGGAGATCTTCACTTAGGTTAAGGAACAAGTGCTTCTTTCAGCATTCCTCTGTAGGGTTTAGAAATTCAAAGAAAATACTAGTGATTTCTTAAATATTATTACAAGAGTGCCACTTCTTCCTGAGTTGATGTCATTCTGATGACATTATGAAGAAAAACCTTTTGTCCTTAAATTCATTAAGCAGGGATCATTTGGCTCCATCTAGGCTGGAAAGAAGCTCCAAAGCAACAGGATAATGTTTGTACAAGGCCAGCAGCTGCTGGGTGAGTGCAGGGAGTGTGATACTGTGATATCAGCATACTCAACCTCACGGGCCTGGTGGCTGCTCCTAAACTTTCCTGTGTGTCAGGTTAACCACAGAGGAGCCTAGGGTACTGTGAGTTCAACTGCTAAATGTTGTTTGTACACTTGTACGTACTTGTTTTCATAGAAGATAAGTATAATATCTATATAGTATGAGATATTTCTGGTAAATACAGGCATGGAAAATCATGCAGCAGCTTTGTGATCTAAAAGGTGAGTGCACTTCAGAGATGCCTGAATGCCTCCAGTGGCACTGCTGTTCAATGAAATCCTCTGGGTATTGAAATGTTTTGTGCAGGCCTGTTTACTCTTGGACACAGAGTGAAGTATCAGTGCTTTTGGGTGAGACAAGGAATAGATCAAGTATTATTTTCATAGAAGCTTGGCTAAAAATTTCTTTTGTGGGTTATTTTTTGTTTTTCTTCTGCTTTGGAAGTTTCTTTAAAAGCAAAATAAAATGGAGCAATATCAAAACAATTTTAGTAATCCTGACATGAAAGAGCTAGAGTTTGAACATTTAAAGAAGAAAAAAACAAACCCAAACAACCTTTGAAGTGTTGAATAATCTTTTGTTTAAATCTGCTGTCATTTGAGAGTGGAAAAGCTTAGGTGTGTCTGCACACCTGGCAGTAATAATTGATCAATTTTAGCTGGCCTGGGTCTTCTAAGAGTCTAAAATACTCAGTTGAAGCATTACTGCATTCAGAGATGGTGTCCTGACAAGTTAAAAACAACCCATGGTTCTGTAAATGGAAAAGAACAGATAGTATCAGTCTCTAAATAGCTCCTGTTTCCTCTCTTTTGGAGCACTTGCTTTGTCTGAGAATCTAATCTCCTGATCAAAGAAGAGCTTTCTTAGCAGCAGTGGCTGAGAAATAGTTTTAAAGCATACAGCAATATGCCATCAGAGAGCCTGTGCTCTGTTGGGGTCTGGATACAATCTCTACCCAATTTATCAAGTGTGGGTTTGTGAGGAAAAATGTGCCCTTTAGCTTTGGACAACTTCTGGAGCAGTTGGGAGTTCATTGAGTCGGGAGGCTGAACATTATTCCCTCTTCATCCATTTAGAACCTTTCAAAAAAGCAACTCTACTGAAAACTCAAACCTTTTCTAAATGCCATCTGAACCAGACCATTTTCTGGTCAAGTCATGCAATGAAAATGGGACTGCTGGAACAAGTTAGAGGCTCCATGTGCTAAGTGAACATCATCCCACCTGTGTATGGCTCAACAGCTCAGGCACAAGCTTAATTCTCTAAGCAATTGCAAACAGGAGGCTGTTTCTACTTCAAGTTTATCTGCTTGTATTAAATTATGTCAAGATTCTAGAAATCAGTATCTGTTGCTGCCTGTGTAAGAATTTGGTGTCAGTTTGTGACAGCTGAAGCAGCATCTGTGTTTCTTTGTAGACTTTTCCCACTGCCTTTGTGAGCTTATTCACCCCTTAGCCAGGCAGATTCTTTGGATGCACTATCAGCTTTGGGAGTTCAGTGCCAGTTAAATGGTTATTCATTCTCATGCAGGATAACGCTTGGTGTTCTTCCTTCTTCCCTGCAAAATGTGTATCCCATGAAGGGAGGATTCAAGCCTTAGATACACAGAAGAAGCTTAATTTGCTACAACAAAGCAAACTACACTTCACTACTTGTATTAAGTAGCAGTTTTGTCAGACTGCATAGGCAAGGTCTAGTTTGAAATACATCCTCAGCTGACCTTCTTTCCTAAAGGCAATTCTTCCAGGGTCTCCCTGGTGCACTGTTTGCCCTGGTGCTGCTTGCTTTCTGCAGCCAGAAGCCTCCTTTCCTCGAGTTTTCATGGATTTCTAAATAATTTGTGATACACGCTAGTTTTTAACTCTGGGTTCTTGTTTCTGTTTAGCTTTTCAATGTTCCCGCCGTGGAGGAGAGTTGAAGATTTCCGTGCGCACTGATGGAAGAGTTGACATTGCGGGGCAAACTGCTGTTGTGTTAAAAGGAAACCTGACTTTCTGAAAGAACTGGCACTAATCTCTCTCTTCTCTCACTAATCACTAATCTTTATGTTACTCTGATTATGCTGATTTTATCTCAGCTCTGGGCAGTGAATTAACAGAATAACAGCAG